GTAGTACTATCACAGAAGTAGTATAAAATAGTAAACTCACCGAATACAATTTCCCAAAAACACAGCATATATAGCCGCTCCCAAGTAGGGGCTTGTCGCTGGAAAGCCTCGATAAAAGACRCCGACGTCTCCTCTGATGATGAGCGYTAGWGTCGYGGTAGCAACATGCTATGTGTTTACATCCATYGCYRCCATGTTTGTAATGACTTATCGTGAGACCAAACGTATTCACGCGTGACTTTAATAGCATTTCTTACTTAATGGAAACACTGCAGTTGTAAAACTGTGTTTTTCGACATTAACAGAATATCAACAAAATTTTGCGCACATTTGCAGTGGAAACACAGCTAGTGTTTTCTCGGTTGACCTGTGACCTGGAAGAGTTAGTCTAAGCTAGCACTCATAACCACAAAATGGTCTAYTATTTGGACTTCACAGCTGGTTTTGTGCTCTGACATGCAGTGTCAACTATAGGACTATGTTGTGAATTTTTATGGAAAAGCCTTTGGTGAATAAACAGTAACATTATGAAAAGTYTAATAGTTACAAAAACCACAAGTCAACAATATTCCAGACAGACTGCAAAAATGGTGGATCTCTTTCCTGCAGCACAAAAAAAAAATACACTTTAAACAATTATTTTTTGTTGTTGCGATTTTGTTTTTCCTCTGAACAGGTATGATTTAAATGCACTGCAGTACAAGACAGAACTAAATATTTACTTTCAGTACAACCAGAGGAAAAATACTACTTAGTAACAGTTGTAGAGGAAAATACAATTTGTTACTTTCCACTTTGGGAATGGAAACTGAGACTCGTGYGGGGTGGATGATGAGCACACGGGTTTGTAACTGTGTTGAGAAAATAAACAACTGACAGTTTTATGCAAAGATAACACTTGTGTTTTTAAAAGCATCTTGCTGTCAGCCGTGTGTTGACCGTGGGCGTCTGTTATTGGAGCGCCGCTTTCCAGGCTTGTGACAGAATTTCCACTCATCAGTGTCTCCCGATGAGCAAAAACCCAAACAGTCTGAATCCATGGCCGTTTCTAAACAAAAACAACAACAAAAAAAAGGTTCTGATTGTTGTTGAGGTTATGGGATGACCCGGAGAAGTTCCTGCCATTCTGAGCGAGTTTCTACCGGCAGACACAACAACATGAGCAACACCAGCCTCCCCACCCAGGCCTTAAGGTCTCCGCTCGGAGTCCTAAAATAACAACAGCAGGCATCATTTTATCAAACACACACGCACACACACACACACACACTCAACAAGCCAAGGTTTCTCTGCTGAACAAAACAACTGAAACGATCCTGTAAAAACAATAATATTAATTACTATGTTCTCATTGCTGCATTCTTCATCATCTGCTTTTTTAGACTTTATTTTTATATTTATYATATTTATGATCCATATTGTATTGACACACAAATGATTTGTTTACAGAGCAGTAATATTTTTTGTTTATATGTTAATGATCACAAACAGGTAACATTCAACCGGGTATCGTTCACTCATTCATTTATAAATGAATGAATGAATGATACAATTTATTGATCCCAAGGGGAAATTACAGATTTATTACATCTGTTCATCAAGGAAGGTGGACGATAATGTAATTGCTTCATGTCTTGCGTGTGTTCGTTCCTCTGTGAGTAAAACAGATGATGACAAATGAAGTTATTAGAAAAGTGTCACAACTGATTCRCTTCCTGATTCACTTCCCGTTGAACTCAGTTTGAGATGTTAACTTATTATTTAATTTAATTTTTTAACTGTTCATTATTGATTTTACTTTTTCATGCTTGCTAGTAACTTCTATGCTTCACTTTGTTCTTTTATCAAYGGAGACCACTTTAGCCAACAGTGCTTTAAAAGTAAAGTTGTATCTTGAATGGCCGCCAAAGCTAATAAACATTAACAAAAACAAAAATGACAACAACTCAGTCAATTTTACAGACAATGATCAAATTATCTGTGTGGTAGTAGCTGAGAGTCACTCTGAACACATACTCTGAGCGTTAATAGATTGGTGCAATTTTTTAAAAACAGTGTTATTGTCTATTGGAGCTGAAAATGTCTGTCTGTTAGTAAAATATCTAGTGAACTACTGGACCATCTTTAATGAAACTCTTAGAATATATTTAATGGATTTACCTCTGCAGCTGATTAGTGTTTGGAGTCGACTTAATTCAAGATGGCTGCCACAGCTAACCAAAATTAGCAAACACAAAAAATGGCTACAACTCAGTCAGTTTTACAGGTAATGAGCTAAAAATCTGTGTGKTAGTAGCTGAGAGTCACTCCCAACACATACTCTGAGCGTTAATAGATTGGTGCAATATGTTTTTAAAACAGTGTTATTATCTAATGGAGCTGAATATGTCTGTTAGTAAAATATCTAATGAACCACTGGACCGTTTTTAATGAAACTCTTAGATCATATTTAATGGATTTACCTCTGGAGCTGATTAGTGTTTGGAGTTGACTTGACTCAAAATGGCTGCCACAGCTAACCAATATTAGCAAACACAAAAATGGGTACAACTCAGTCCGTTTTGTAGACATTGAGGCAAAATTTGGTGTGGTGGTAGCTGAGAGTGACTCCCTTTATTTTTTCTGAGCACTAATATATCACTTGAGWTTTCTTTTTGAAACATTGCCATTTACTATTGGTGGTCACCATAAATRTCCGTTAGCCTGTTTTCTGTTACTGGAAGTCCAAGCTGAAGATTTATTCTGGTATGTTACAAATAATCCATCACACCCACTAATAAAAAGGGTTTCATCACTTATCTATATATCAGCCAACTTTGTACCCTGACTGAAGTGTGGCCTCTGCTCTGAGTGACAGTTCAATACTAAAACAAGCCAGGGCACGTGTCAGTGTTGCCAAACAGACACATTTTATTTATATTTTTCTGCTTTATGTTCACATTTGATCACCCCGCTTTGAAATATGCCGCTCACCCCTAAATATCAGCCACGAAAGTCGTGCAAATGAGTCGATTTCATTTCCTTAATCACGACCGGAAACATGGAGGAGCAATACCAGCAACACACGCAAAGAATAGCTCCTTCTATCCTTTAATCGTGACAATAAATAAAACCAAAACAGATCAAACAGTTTCTGCCCTCCAGTTCATTCTGTCTCACTGTTTCAATGTATTAAATCAGGACGTGAGGTGAAAATGTGTCGCTCCGGGGCAGTTAAACATTAAACACACACACACACACACACACGCACACACACACACACACG